TGTTGGTGTTGGTGTTGGTGTTGGTGTTGGTGTTGGTGTTGGTGTTGTTGTTGTTGTTGTTGTTGTTGGTGGTGTTGTTGTTTTTGTTGTTGTTGTTTTTGTTGTTGTTTGTTGTTGATTGGTGTTGTTGTTTGTTGTTGTTTGTTGTTTGTTGTTTGTTTATTGTTGTTTGTTGTTGTTGTTGGTTGTTGGTTGTTTGTTGTTTGTTGTTGTTTGTTTGTTTGTTTGTTTGTTGTTTGTTGTTTGTTGTTGTTTGTTGTTGTTTGTTGTTGTTTGTTGTTGTTTGTTGTTGTTTGTTGTTGTGTGTTGTTGTTTGTTGTTGTTTGTTGTTGTGTTGTTGTTTGTTGTTGTTTGTTGTTGTTTGTTGTTGTTTGTTGTTTGTTTATTGTTGTTTGTTGCTGTTGTTGGTTGTTGGTTGTTTGTTGTTTGTTGTTGGTTGTTTGTTTGTTTGTTTGTTTGTTTGTTGTTTGTTGTTTGTTGTTGTTTGTTGTTGTTTGTTGTTGTTTGTTGTTGTTTGTTGTTGTGTGTTGTTGTTTGTTGTTGTGTTGTTGTTTGTTGTTGTTTGTTGTTGTTTGTTGTTGTTTGTTGTTGTTTGTTGTTGTTTGTTGTTTGTTGTTTGTCGTTGTTGTTGTTGTTGTTGTTGATGTTGTTGTTGTTGTTGTTGTTTGTTGCTTGTTGTTGATTGTTGATGTTGTTGCTGTTGTTGTTGGTTGTTGTTTGTTGTTGATTGTTGATGTTGTTGCTTTTGTTGTTGGTTGTTGTTTGTTGTTTGTTGTTTGTTGTTGTTGTTTGTCGTTGTCGTTGTTGTTGTTGTTGTTTGTTGTTTGTTGTTTGTTGTTTGTTGTTTGTTTTTATTGTTGATGTTGTTGCTGTTGTTGTTGGTTGTTGGTTGTTGTTTGTTGTTTGTTGTTTGTTGTTGTTGTTTGTCGTCGTTGTTGTTGTTGTTGTTTGTTGTTTGTTGTTTGTTGTTGATTGTTGATTGTTGATTGTTGATTGTTGATGTTGTTGCTGTTGTTGTTGGTTGTTGTTTGTTGTTTGTTGTTGATTGTTGATGTTGTTGCTGTTGTTGTTGGTTGTTGTTTGTTGTTTGTTGTTTGTTGTTGTTGTTGTTTGTCGTTGTTGTTGTTGTTGTTGTTGTTTGTTGTTTGTTGTTTGTTGTTGATTGTTGATGTTGTTGTTGTTGTTGGTTGTTGTTGTTGTTTGTTGTTGTTTCTTGCTAGATGAGATGGGTAATGGATTGGCCATGATCCTCTCATGGTCAAGTGTAGAAGGAAAGCCAACTGAATCCTTTGACTCAATTGACTATGGTCACTGAACAAGGAACCTGTTTGAGATTTGCCTCTATCATATCTCCGGTTATTTGTTTGTTTTTCTTCGCAATTTTCTCATGTCCACAAAGGCTATTGGTGCATGTGTATATATTAGTATGTATATATATATATGAGTACACAATATGCTTAGCTGCTTAACCCGATCCAATTAATTAGTTTTCGAGTCCACTGACCATTGCCAGGACTCCCAAGTGACAGATCCGATAGAGGAAGATCCGGGCCCTGGGGCGCTGGCAGAGGCAGAGGCGCTGGCATGGGAGGGAGGCAGACTTGAGCTCTTGGCTGTTGGCAATGACTATAGGAGGAGCACTCGTCGGGCCCACGTGTCACGGGTGGTTCGTTGGGATCCTTCTGTCGTTTTGCACATTCTTCCAAAGGGCAGAGATGTGAGTTCTATAGTTAGCAGAACATCATGCCGACAGAAGAACAGTATTAAGTTGGAAGAAGGGGAGTGCTGTCACTGATGTGCGGCCTTGACACTCATCCTGTAAAGTCGCGAAGACTGTGCCTCACGCGTTTGATCAGTGGGTATATATGGTCGGGTTTGGTGGTTGATGCAGGCTGATGCGGCTATAGTATGTATGTGGATCCTGTTCGCTATGGTGTTTTAGGTTGTTGCTCCTTGCAACATCACAGTATACTTAAGTACTTGTACCATTGTGTTAACCGGACACATGCATCGATTCGGACGGCCAGGTCCAAGGCGACGCGGACATTTCGGGAGGCGAGGCGGATGGGTTTGGCATGAAAAACCGAGGCAACCCCGACACGCCGAGCCGCAAAGCCGCTCTCAAGTCGTCCTGTTCTTTTTATCCTTAAGCTGAGTCATGAGTCGGTTCTCTCACCGGAGATATGCTGAGCTCTCTCAACAGCTTCACACACCAGCACGCAAGCTTGCCTGGCTCGAAGATGACAGAGACCCCACCTCGGTGTCAGCGTGTCGCCACCAGATCGACATGTCCATGGGGGAGACCACGCAGCGGGGCCCCTTACACAAGCGAAAAAGCAAAACATCACATGAAGGCAGCTTCAAAACTCAACAACAAACTTGGGTGACGATGGTGGCGAGTTCCGTCGCATGACAACATGCATATGTTTCAATAAAATGTCAACATGACAACATCACCTTACATTCAGCAGATGTTTCTTTTCTAGCTTATGACATGTCAGCACATGTTGCTTGATAACAAAGCGATTGCAACCTTCCCACCACTTGCAGGATGTGGTCCCTTCTCATTCAAAGCTTGGTGGGCACCTTAATTAGCTTGATGAGCTTCCATCTTCTGTAGGAAAGGCACATCGCATTTTTGTGACCAGCTGTAACTCGCGCTGCATGGGCGAGTTCCCGGCCGCGGTGCACGCCGAGTTGGTTGCAGAGGAGCGCCTTTACACGATGCACGTAGATTGGTGAGCCATTGTGTGGCAGAAGGACTTGCTTTACGTGGTGCTGAACACCTGGTTTGTATGCTCATCCATCAGGATGTTGAGGGGAGGTTCTAGCCCAAACAGTTTCGTTTGGGTGCCTTCTGCCTACCACAGTGTAGGCATGCAACCAAACTCTTCCCGCTGGTGAAGCATGGTCCCTGAAGCTCAGGGCCTTTCGGTGGTTGACTCGATGATCCAAGGTGTTTTGTTTTTGACGTATGGAGAGATAATGAGAGATTTCCGCCAAGGCTGATCAGCTCCTCACGATTGCCAATAGGGGATTGGAAGCAGAGAGAGGGGCACCGTAGTCCGTAGCATCCTTAAGAAGAGAGGGCGGTTGCTTCGGGCGGTTGCTGGGGGAGTGCCCACTCCCACCGTAACGATATCATATCGTTGAGCTGCGATTCCCGGCTCTGGACTTTCGCACTCAGCGCGGACTCTCTGGGGATTGGTTTGAACAGATTTGAAAAGGGTTGGTTGAGCCTCTCAGACTTGCCCCAATTGACTTGTGCAATCCAAGCAGAGATGGATTTGACCAGGAGCTCGCAGGAATTCTCTCATCAGACAGTCTAATCACTTGAAGGAACGTCGTCTTCTCAAGTCCTACGGCCTCCCCTCACCCTGGACCGAAGGCGCGATGGTGGGCACTGAGCCAAGCTGGACGACCATCCCCGGGAAGGCCGGTTCCGGCTGAGACGGTCTGGCCACCGGTCGGTGGTTGGCGGTCGGTGGGTCCCGACCTCTCTGGTGGATGGGAGACCACCGGTTGGTCCACTGGGGCCATGATGCCATGACCGCCCATGACCGGGCTTCGTTGGGAGGTTCAAGCTGAGGATCAACCTAGGCGTTGGATCATGGATAGATGGGACGTACACCAGTTTAGGCCAACTATGCATGAGAAGGAGGGAAGAGGTGAGGTTGCCGAAGTTTCCCTTAAATATAGGAACCACATCATTAACATGAGCTATCCTGCGTCCCTACTAGTAGCTTTAGTTGCTAGTAGCGTGTTTACTCCCTTACTTAGTTAAGTAGGTGCCTACTTAATTGAGGAGGCAGGGCCACGGGCCAAAAAACAGGTGCAATCTAGGCCAGAGAGCCACCTGTCCCAATTGATACACTTCTTTTTGACGTCAGAGCCTCTCAGCTGATCTAAGCGGCTTCAGGAGTGGCAGAGTGAGCATTCCCATGGACCAGACACAGACCACACCACCTCAAGCAGACCAGTGGCTGAGTGTGGCTGACGCTGGCTCAGGCTGGCGCAATCCACAACCACGTGTGCCGGAAGACCTATGAAAAACATATCTTAGAGTTTGAGGCTCAGCGAATCCCAACACATTTGTGAACTGGGAATGGTTTCCCAGGTGACTCATTTATGTTTGGGATGCTTAACAACTATGCTGATGTGGGTTCATTGATATTTGCTCTCTATGGAAAGATATTTTACATTGAAGTCAATGTTGAAGTTTAGAGTGTGTGCCTTCTCCATACATGACTCCGAGTGGGCTTTTAGACAAAAAAGCTATTTAACGTGATAATTAACTTGAGAGCCCTCTCAGCGATTGGACTTTTGAGGGACGTAATGTAGACTCTTGATTGAAAAACCCACATATGAAGAGGATGTTGCGATTTGAATGAGGGGTTTATTAGTCTACATGATTCGATCTTCATCCCTGAGGTCCAACATCCCCTGGCACAGTGGTTACCCCATCGAGAGGCGCGGCGGGTTTTCTTACGAAAACGGGTTCGAGGCGTTCGGACCGTCTTCGAACGCGAGCATGGGTGGCTCACCCATGCTGTGTTGGACCGTCAACAAAAAGGGATCCTCTTTGAGATGGAGTGGAAGGCTTTTGACATGTTTTCAAATTGTGTCCGTCCCTGGAACATGTTCCTGAGCATTCTTGAATTGAGGGTGCCTTTAGTTCCATTTGAGCTTTCTGTAATGCTGCTGCATTTCACTTTCGCGTTCAGACCTACGATGCAATATGAGATGGACTGTTCACTATATGTGCAACCATGTGCAACCACTTATTTTTATTCATTCTTTACTAAAGTAGTCTACGGCAAGCTCTAGTTGTTTGTCCAACATCAGTAATTATTCGCTGGTGAACGAGATGGGCCCCCACATAAACGAGTTATTTGTTTGATGACACGTCTGAGTAGTCCGAACGAGATACTGTGATTTGCTACTCAAGTAGTTTGAAGGAGATGCTGTGAGTTGACCTCCTACTTAAGTATAAACAAGATGGGGCCCCCACATAATGGATAGTGCATTTCAGTTCAGTGTTATTCTTGGGTTATCTTTAGTCTTTTGTTTACACTTTGTAGATTCTGGAATCGAACGATATGGACAACTTCTCGAATAGAATCTACTGCAAATCAACATGGATTCTGAAGTGAAGGATGTTAATGGAAACACTGGAACGTCCAAATCGTTTATGTCCAACATCAAGAGCACACAGACACACCATGACAACCTCAATACCATACCGTACCCATAACACGTACGCATTCTACCCTACCTCGAGTAGATGGAGAAGAGGTTGAAACAAATGCACGGCTTTCGACCCATTTACCTCCCGAAGGTCGCGAGTTCCAAACCGAATCGGCGCCTCACGACCAGAATGGTGTGCATGACATCAATGCTTCCCCAAATTTGCGACGTCCAAGGGTCAACTTCCAGACACAATGGACACAATGGGACTGCCATTTTGGGCCTTTGTACATTGGGGTGGTTTGGTTTTTCTGCCTGTCGTCCAGATGGAATGGGTCGTGCTAGGGAAGCAACAAATCCGTAAAAAAGCCGATGAGATCTGTCTGCATTTCGAGGGGCCAATGGGCAATGCAGACATCTTGTCCAGTCCCATGGGTCGTGCGCTGGGTTTCGGTTCGCAGGTCCGTTTCCCCTCGGCCACGGAGCCCGATGCCTGGTCCGGGCGCCCTGAGCGGGGCCCATGCGCGAGGCCTGGAGGTTTTGGAAAAGAAGGAATCACTGGGAAGGGCAGGGACATGAAGGGAATCTGAGATTATTTTGTATGTTGAACACTTATCGGGATATATAGTGCAGTTCTTCTATGTTTAATGTGTTTTGTTGGACTTTCCGAACTTATATTAGGTATGTGTACATTCTAGCTTCTACTTGACCCTTGTTACATGAAACCCTCTAAAAATACAAGTTGTTTGTCACCGTAATGGGTGCAAAAATGGGTTGCTCAAAAATCGACTCTTCGTATCGAATCGGCAGAAGACAGACACGTAGATTCTGCCTGAGGGGTCTCGGAATCGACAACCAACGCGACAACCAACAGGTCGATCCGAACGCGGCTGGGGAAGCAGGTCGTCGCAAATTTGCATGAGCGATGAGGGTAGGGAGTTGAGCTGGAAGAAGGGACTGACTAATACCCCCCTTTGGGGGGAGATTCACAGAGCTCCATCACCCAAAAAGCGGCCATGTCACGTCCACTTCCATGATGGTTCTGGCGTGTGTAAATGTGTAACCCTCCTATTGATATTTACATGATTTTACATGTATATATAATATAAATACGTATAATATATACCTAGCGACCCCCCTCAAAAAGATTATATACCTAGCGACCCCCCTCAAAAAGACCTGCAATGGTATGATGGCACAACATGTACTGGAATATCTTCAGCTGCCGCGGTTTAAATTGAATCCCCCTGGGTCTTAGATCTCTAAGGAGATGCTAAAAGTATCTGAAAACACTGTGTGGCTGTGGGGTTTGAATACCATAATGGCGGTCAAAACAGCCTGAGGGGTGAACGCCAACAGAGAAATTGAATAGACGACTTCGTTGACAGGGTGACGACAGAGTGACTCCCGGCGCTCAGTGAAAAAAGCTTCAAACGCACAAGAATCAAGCTTGGTATGGTTCGTTCAGTCTACCCAAGGGGCATCAGCGCTTTTGGCTTTGTTTTTTTGCGGGACGAGGAAATGACCAGCTGGCCAAGCGAAGTGGGACCTCCAGGCTGGATTGGGCGTGAAGAAGGACAGGGGCGTGTGCAGAACGGGGCCGCCTTGATTGCGGCAGAGATGCATGTCAGAGGTCAAGAAGGTGGTAGCAATACAGACTTAGCAACTTAGCATAGATTAAATTAGACATCCTTGCCAGGTGTTATACCTCCACATACTTGGAACTTACAGGGACGCCACCCTCACTCTGGCTGCGGCTTCCCAGTTCTGTGCTCATCACTTCGGTCGCTTCGGTCTGCGGTCTGTGGGTGCGCCCAGAGATGGGATCGCGCCTGACATGGTCCTGTTCTGGAGGCCAACATCATCCC